CCTGCAAACCTAGCCACATATTACCATACCCTGGGGACCTGTCGAGATATAAGGCCTAGGTGAGACAAAATCCCCAAGGGGGTCACAATGTCTGAGCACTAACTGAGCACCCTTCGCTGGGGTGCATGTACAGCTACAGACAGAACTACATCGGTCAGTGGGTCACACGACATTGCAAAGAGATTTGGTGGAGGAGGCTTAGCGGTGGCGTGTGCTTGGCTAGTTTGTACGAAACGTCCAGCATTCAGTCTTAGTGCGTGCAAAGTAGTTCATGCACAGAACAATTATGTGAAAATCATAGAAAGACTTGCAGTATCTAAAACAACGTCTCTATCCACCCTCAAAAGGCTCAGCTGTAACAGGGTCGATGCTAGGCTTATTGTTGGCATAGTGACCTGGGCAGGGAAGGCAAACTCAGCAAGGAAGGAGTTCCAAAAATTTTTTTCTATTTTTTCAACCAGCATTCTTTATATATTCCTCTTTTTAAAAACAATCACATTTCAAGGTTACTATGAGCTGGCTCCTGGCAGGGAAGGAGACAAGAATTTAACAGAAAACAAGGGCTCTGCCCTTGCCCTCACTTAGTCAGGGTTTTATGGTGCTGTGCTCAACAAAGTCTCTAGACCAGCAGTTCCCAACCTGCCCCTTGCTGCAACCCTTTAATACAGTGCCTCAGGTTGTGGTGACCCCCAACCACAAAAGCTACTTTGTAACTAATTTTGCTACTGTTAGGAATCACAATGTAAATATCTGTGCTTTCCAAAAGTCTTAGGTGACCCCTGTGAAAGGGTCATTCCGCCCCACAGGGGGCTCAATTGAAAGGCTGAGAACCACTGCTCTAGGCTCAACACCAAGAACCCTCAGGCTCTACCCACCCTCCCCAAAGGCAAGCACAGGCCAGCTACAGAGCAGGTATAGCCTCCGAGGAACAGGAAGGGACGGGCTTCCTCACTCACGGGTTTAAAGCCAATCAACCACCAGCATGGAGGCATGTATGAGGACGGAGGCAGGCTGTAGAGACACGTCTATACAGAGGTGCATTAACAGACTACACAGAATGACAGCCTTGTGAAACTAAAGGGGGGGGTGAGCGGGGAGGGGGAGCAGCTATAGCTTAAAGAAACCAGGTCAGGTCTAATGACAAGAAAGGTAGGCTTCCTCCTTTCCTGTCAGCTTGCCCGGTTTTCCTGAGAACCTGTTTTTCACTGGTGCACTTTGTTCAGAGGGATGCATACGGAATTAGGAAATGAATATAAGGACATAGGAAGCCACCCATCAGACAGGTTTTCCCCTTGCTTGGGATAAGAAGCCATTTGTTTCTGCAGAAGCACCTGCAGCCCCAAATTACTTCATTCATCCTCTGCAGGAGGAAAAGGGTTAAGTAGAAGCAGCACCCCTGTGCACAGCAGGGCATCAGGGCAGCCAGGACTCACACCTGCCCTCCCCCCTGCCCTCCCCCCCTGCTCCTCCACTCAGCATCCTCTCCCTTCCTTCTTTCTTTCTTTCTTTCTTTGTAATTCCCAGCCTGGGAATGCCTGGCGATGTCTGTCCTATTTCTGGGCAGATGAAAGATAGAGCTGTGGAAACTGCTGGATTTTTTCTCTAACATTCCTGAATGTTTCAAGTCAGAACCTGAACCGGTGAAAGAAAAGAGAAATCTTTGAAAACAGCTTCAATCACTTCTCACAATCAGAAACAGATATCCAATGGCTACCCTCAGCTTTTTATTTTTTCCTGTCTAAAAGAATGAAGAAGTGTGTGGAAAAGAAAAAAAAAAAAACAATGTCAAAAATTATATTTCAGTGGACCTCCCTGCTGCTTGCTAGGGGTGGACTATTACCGATTCCTCAACAGAAGGGTGTTTGTTTATCATAGATTAATGAGGACTTCAAAGTTGCCTGCAAAGGAAGACCCGGGTGCTTAAAGGTTTGCCTGTTTCCTACCAGCATCCTCTATTCTTCCTTGATAAAAGTGTAAAAACTAAATATGCTCATGCGTTCGTTTGTTCATTCATTCACTGCACACATATCACAGGGTGGCACCTGTATCTGGTGTCACCAAGACAGGAAAGACATGCAGAATCACGAAATCACCTCGGAGATTGTAGGAGGACCAAATGACTTAGAGATGTCGTCCAGTAGGCTGCCTTTATGCACCTCTAAAATTATGACTTGGTGACCGACCACTGCGCGGATGGTTTCTGTTCTGGTCTTGACTCAAGGAGCAACAGAAATGAAAGTCACCTCTCAGAGCCTTCGCACCGTTCTTACTCTATTCCATGCAGTCTACTTCTTCTGCCTCAGTGGGTAATCAAGCCTCCCTGTCCCCTGTGGTCACCGGAGCCCACTCTGCGGGGCTTGCGCGCTCTTTCCACAGGTGAGCACCTTCTGTGAGAAAGGTGTGAGCATCCATTGTCTGGTGGGCATGGGGATGAAGGGCTCTCACAACAGCTCACCCAGGCTTCCAGAGATCTCCACTTCTTTCTTTCCATCCTCCTCAGGGACACCAGGGCCATGTGTAGGGTCAACCATATGGCAACATGGGTCCCATATGGCTCCATCTCACGAAGAGAGACTTGACAACGTAAAAAAAAATGCCGCTGTATACTTTTATTGCGGCCCCATTCTGATTCCCTCCGTCTGTCTTCCATATGGCTTCTGCACCTCTACGAGGCTCTCACACACGAGTCTCCGTCAACCTGACCTAGGTGTCACTCACCTCTGTCGGTGATGAGGGACCGCCATTGCTTTAAAAATCCAATCCATTTAGTATTCAAACTAGAACAAATCATAATCACTTCTCTTCCATTTGAGTACACCTATTTTATATTTATAGCTTTAGAACTTATCAACAAAAACCAGGTGGTAGTTCCCTCCCTGAAGTTTCAAGGAGAGCCATACCACTTCCCCATAGGAGTCTCTCATACACACACACACACACACACACACACACACACACACACATCACTTTCTCAAAGTTGGTTTTTTTCATTTTCACAAAATTCTCCTTTGATGAGAGGAAAAGTTATTACTGTATATACTTTTTCCAAATGGCTTTGCAAAACTCCGAAGAAGCACTCGTGTCCATGCGTCTCTTCACTGAGACTGAACAAACGAGCAAGATATCAGGTGAGGCTGGCCCAGACAAACCCCTTCCTGAAGCCCCCAAGTTCAACCCGATGAGTTCTCGATCCTCTTTGTTTTTATGCGTTTGCCTGAAGTGGCATGTCAGTATAACTGAGAGGAGAGCAGAAATAAATGTCGACAGACAACACGCACATTCCATTACAAGCAGGAGGCAACTCCTGGCACTAGAGACATGAAGGTGACCGGTTATTTCCAGTGTCAAATATTGAGCGAGTCCCTGGGCCATCTCTCTCAAAAGTAAGGAGAACCAGCTGCAAGTCTAAGCCAGCAACAGAGCACTTCCTAGCTTTCAGGAGGCCCTGGGTTTGATCCCCAGAAGCACAAGAGATTAAAAGAAAGGAATATACCGACTGAGTGATGTTATAAAGGGGGGAGGGGAGGTGAACAAAACAAATTATTCTTAAATGATTTCTGTGCTTAGAATGTTAAGAAGCAGACGTCATTCCACACTCCATCTCTGAACCCTGCCTGCCCCACGAGTCCTGCCCTTTCTGTGACAGGCAACTTGCCCATATTCTCTTCTCAACAAACCTCTGGCTAACAGCACAAGGGAACTCATCTCATGGTTACATCCATAGGCAGAGCACTGGAATGTTGCTCAAACTGACAAAGTGTGAATTTTCAGATATGCACACTAGCCCGGTGACTGTCACTAGGATACTTTTATTTTATTGAGAATGGCTTATTTCGTGCATGTAAGCAATAAGAATTACTCTTTCCCAATTGTATCCAAAATAAATATTTAACTTTTAAATTAAGCAATGATATTGTAAGATCCAAGGTTGGGTCATGAAAGCTTTTTTTTTAAACCTATTCACATATTTCATATATCATTGCTTTTCTTACTGTCCTTTCTAAAGCACCACTCATAGACCCGACAGAACGGCTGGGACACTAGGGAACTTGCTCCTGGGCTGGCTTTTCAGTCTCTCCTGTGTGTAAAACCCAAGCAGTTACAACCTACAGCTGCCTTTCTGGATGCAATCAATACACAGCACACTGTGGGGGTCACAGGTGCCTTTGTAGTGCAGTCATCGGATCAAGTTGCAAACTTCAGGCTACTGCAGGAAGCCTGTTCCCTGGGCTAACTGCTCTAGGCTGAAACAGATTACCAAGGCTGGTTAAGGGAAGCAAGCAGTACTCCTTCTGTGAGAAGACATTTATCGAAGAGAGTAACATTGTTTCCAAATGCCGGTAGAAAGCTAAAAGCTAAACGTCTTTTGGTTTCAGTTGAATAAAAACGACAAGACATTTGAGCAATAAGGCTTTGATCTCCGGTCAGGGAAGCTGTGACACACGCAACACTCCAATCCTCACTCTGGGCAAGCAGTTTGTAAACACTTGGAATAGGGGCAGAAGTTGCTGTTGCAGCCGAGGGGCTGCAGAAATGGTTTTCAATTGGGCAAGGAGGGTGCTGTCACCACTCACTCTGCATTTCCCAGGGACCAAGTGAAAGCCTGTTGGCGCCCCCCCACCCCCCTTAGGCTGCTTTTCATAGCACAGGAGCTATTGAATACTGGCTTCTTGCCAAGTGGCTTTACGTGAGATATGGCAAAAATGACCAACCACGCACATCTGCCTTCACCTCATTCTCTTTCCACAAGCCACTTCCCAGGCGGCTGCTCCAGAACTACATGTGTCCATTTACTGGATTGAAACAAACAGAGCACGCTTGGGGAGAGCCACACACAAAGCGCAGCTTTTCCAACCCATCCTGATTTCCCAAACAGTGGGAGCCTCGCCCCTAGGGGATGCTGACAGTGGGGGGTGGCACCAGCTGCTGCTTCTTTGGAGGCAGGAGACCCCACGCATACAGTCCCCACCCCCTCCCCACCACCACCCCGGCTGGCTTACCTGTTTCTTTGTGCTGGACCTCTGCCAGGTGCAAGTCATTCAAAAGGTGCTCCAAGATCTTCTCCGGGGTCCCAGACACCACCACGTATCTGTCAGAGAGCAGAGAGTCCACTGAGTCATCCTCAGTGGAAGATTGTGAGCGGCTGCTCCATTCATCATCCTCGTCTTCTTCGTCGATGTATTTGAAATAAGGCACATCGAAGGTAGGCAAGGGCAGCTGGCGCCCGGGCAGCGCCTCGGAATCTTTCCTCTCCAGATGGGGGTCAAAGACCCGCAGGCGGGAGCTGCCCATTGTGAACAACGGTGCCTAACAAAGGCATCCCCCCCCCACCTCCCTAAAGGCTAAAAGATCTTGCCATCCTTGTCCTTTCCCTGGGAGCTGAGTCCATCTGGCTGCTAAGAGCTCTGCAGTCAGCTAGAACGCTGGTGGAGAGGCGGAGAGAAAAGGGGGAGGGAGGGAGAGAGGGAGGGAAGGAGGGAGGGTAGGGCAGGCAGCAGCAGAAGCAGAGCGAGTGAGTGAGTGAGAGGGAGCAGGGAAGGGAAACAGCAGAAGGGAAGGAAACCCAGAGCGTGCCTGGGCGCTGCGCAGCGTGGGGGACTCTCACCTCGCATCGCTCTCCACGCTCCCCGTCGTCGTGGGGGCTGGGCCACTGCTCGCTACTTTCTTCAGCACCAGCACACTCTGGCCTTGCTCTTTAACCTGAACCACCGTCTCTTCATCATCCTGCTTTAATTGTAGATCAGAGTGATGGATGAGAGAAGGGAAGGGGAAGAGAAAATTAAAAAAAAGGAAGCCAACTACCCTCACCTCGTCTATTCAAAGAGTTGGAAGGAATTAGGCGCCTGGTCAGGCATTAATAGTACCGAATCCAGGCTCAAGGTCTCTGGAAACACAAAAAGACTTTTAGAGACATAAAGATGCCAAGGCAAAGAGTGGCGTGTAATGAGGATTCCAAGAGTTTATTTTTACATCTACCTTCAGGGACAATGTGATTTAGGGAATAGAAAGTTTAAAGTTTCAAGATGCACAACATACTAAAGGCAGTCTTCTACCTGGCTAATAATGTTGCTTAAGCATTATTAAAATCAGAAAATCACAGCATAACTACTATTAAACACTAAGATAATGAGTCAGGACTTGCTTTAAAAGGTGGTCAAATGGCTACCCATTGGGTCACTCAGGTCAAATCCTGCCACTCTTCCCTGAGGTGCGCGTGTGTACACACACACACACACACACACTTACACACACACACACACACACACACTGGGGGGCACAAGAGAGAGAGCTTTAACTGTGCTTTAAAATTTATCAGGCACTTGTTTTACCTAAGTACAAGCCAAGATGAATGTCTAGTTAGACTGTCCTCTAAGCTAAACCCCCAATGCCAGGGGCCCCTGCACTGACTTCCTTCATCTCTGTCCTGTTTTAAAAAGGCGAGAAGCTTAACCATCATTCATTTCTGCACACACAGCTCCCATAGTGCAGAGCCATGGCCTGACCTGGCTCAGTCAGGGGACATTCCCTGCTGATCCAGCAGTATGGGACCAAGTCTGAGCCAGAGGCACAAACTTCCAGGGCATTTGCTGTGACACTCCTAATATGTAGTATCCAACCACAGGAAGACCACCAGAAAAAAAAAAAAAAAAGAACCATAAGAGGCACATAAGAGAATCCAGCTTCTATGTTCTTCGATGACTTGGGAAGACTAGAGCAAGAAAAGTTGGGAGCTTGAGAGCAAGTTGGTCTCCTCTTAAAGATGGGGCCAGCTGTTTGCAAAGGAAACCTGTGCTAACACATTTCTGCTGCCGACAAGATCCTACCTACAATTAGGCACAGGCACAGAAGGATATCCTGCCCTCCTGCATGGATAAAAGGACCATATCCAAATGCCTTAAAAATGCTTCTATAGACCCATCATGGATATCAGTGCATTTTACTCTCTTTTTTCAAGACGAGAAAGGTGCTGATATCACCATAACTGCTAAGCAAGTCAGCAGTCCGACTGTGACCTCAACACCAGATTTCTAAGAGAATGCACGTCTTCCTGGATTTTCTCAAAAAAAAAATCAAACAAACAATATCGGTCATCCTAAATGACAATATAATTGCGTGATCATTCCTTTTAAACCTCTTACTGGCAAATAATTTTTGCAACGTAGGACTGATGTATTATTATGTTTCACCGAGGTCATGCACGTGGTGTCTGTGGCAATTAATGCTGTATATTCATTTTCCAGCTCCCCAAGGAGGTTCGGTGTGACTCCCGCAACATGAATACCAATGTGTAATTGCTATCCTTCATTTCTCCAGAGCAGTCCTTTTGTTAATCCTTGTGAACTTAAGTGGCCTGAGAGAGGGGCATATATGGACCAAAGGACGGGGGGGCAGAAGGAGGCTGGGATGAGATGCATTGAATAAGACGAATAATTCTATTATTCGAGAGAACAGATGTGAAGAGACAAAAATCTTTCCCCCGGCTTCCTCTAATCGCCAGCCAATATTCATTTTATATGAGCCGCTGTCATCCTGAAGTACGCTTTACATCCTATGTGCGCGTGATATATGGCGTTATTAACTTTTGCAGGCTGCGCACATACATATGGATGGGCAGGGTTTTCTCTAATGCCCGTGTAAGTGATATGTATTACGAGGCTGTGCACACAGCAGCCATACTTTACTGGGCAGGAGAGCGGCTGGATCAGATTGATGTACCATCAGTAGCATCTTATGTCATTGTAATAGGTTCCATTTTGAAACCTGTTAAAAAATAAAGAAGAGAGAAGGCAGAGAAATCAATGAGTAAGGGGAGGCAGGGGGAGGTAAATTACTGAGACCTGCTGTGAAGACACAAGAAGCCCGTGTATTACAACCATCTATGGAGGAGGGCCAAGTTAGTGCTTCCCAACGTGGGCACCTTCCCCTTATTTCTCTCCCTCCCAAAGAGGAAAAGGAGCAACCGACACTGAGGCTGTGGGTATGAAATTTTTATTCCGGGGCTTGCTGTGGTAAAAGTAAGCATTAGGACGAGCGATGGGAAAAATACGCCCAGTGACAGATTGACCATGAAACAGAAGCATGAAGACTCCGGACTGACAGTCATTTATGTGACAAAGAATGAGGTCCTTTTTGGGTTAGGACATCCTGCTGGACGCAAAATGGCAAGTTAAAAAAGGTGAGACAGGGCTGGAGAGATGGCTCGGAGGTTAAGAGCACTGACTGCTCTTCCAGAGGTCCTGAGTTCAATTCCCAGCAACCACACGGTGGCTCACAACCATCCGTAATGAGATCTGGTGCCCTCTCCTGGCTTGCAGACATACATAGAGGCAGGATGTTGTATTCATAATAAATAAATAAATAAATCTTTTTAAAAACTTATTAAAAAAAAAGGTGAGACAAACTCTGTTCTGCTCCAGAGGGAAGGGAAGGAGAGAGAGAGGGAGGGAGGGAGGTGGAAGAGAGGGAGGGAGGTACAACCTGAGAATTTCAACACACAGAGCTGGGGCAACCTGAAGAGCCTGTGCCCTAGCCAAGAACGGGGAGTGGGAACAGGGTGCTGGAGAGACAGTTAGGAGCCCTAGCTGCTCTCCCACGAGACGGGGGCTCAAACTCCCAGCACCCACGTGGAGCTTACAATTGGGGATCCGACGTCTTCATATAGACAGGCATACAGGCAAAACACCGTGATGCACATGAATTAAAACACACACACACACACACACACACACACAAATGTGGGATCGGGCTACAAAACAGACTTCCTCTCGGAGAGAACCCACAGGCTCAGTGAAGAAGGAGTAAGGAAGGTGGAGACTTCACAAGCAGTGGCTTCTGGAGGAGGGGTTGAGGGGCGCAGGGCATGGGGCTGGTAGCCTAAAGAAGGTATTATTGGAAAAAGTGGCCTCGGGGATGCGGCAGGGAGTAAAGGCAGTTGTGACTTGTGAGGAGAAGGGTCGCCGGGCACAAATGGCTGAGGCTAGGGGAAAAAACGCGTTCGTGGTTTTACGACCTGCTCTAAGCGCTCAGGGGGCCTTAGAGGAAAAATAGTGACTGATGAGGCCCATCCAGGAGGCAGCGAAGAGACATCACATCGGAAGCCAGGGTTGGGAGAGGACCCAGGGCTCAAGCGCATTAGGAAAATAGCCCTTCATCACAGAGTGTGTGCTTGGCTATGGAGGAAGGGGAAGATCTGTTGTGATGGGGAGGGGGGGGCTGCTGACTTGTGCGTGCTTGGCTAGTGCACTGAGAGAGAGCATCTTTAGTGTAGGCACTTAAGCTTTCTGTTCTTTAATCTTTCCTCGCTCTCGGTTCCTGAAGCAGCCTGAACAGGTCAGAAACTACAAAGGAAGAAAGGCAGGCAGCCTTCCTTTACTCAAAACCTAACCCCTTTCACACACCCACCCGAATTTATGTTAATGAGGTCACATTGGGAAAGTCACCAAATAACCCCCCCACAGGAGGGCCTGGCAGCCAGGAGAACCAACCAACTGCTCGGAGGGTTGGGGGACTCTATGTCCCTATCTCTACCTCTAAAGGTCTTACTGGTCACCAGCGGCCAACGAATTAATCAATTATGCCTATACAAGGAAGTCTTCGTAACTAACCCTAAAGGGTTTTCAGGGGGTTTTGGGGAAGGTGAGTCTGTGCGGAGGGCAGCACATCCCAGCTGCTTACAAAGGGGCCTCTTGTACCTGGGACCCTTATAAGCCTTGTCCTCCATCCTCCATATTTCTTTGCTGTTCTCTGTGCCCTTTAAAATATTCTTTACAATAAACTGGTAAACGTGTTTTCCTGGGTCAAAGGGGGTCGGGGAGTGGTTGTGGAAACTCTAATTTATAGTCGATATATTAGATTAGAAGCACGGGTAAGTAACCTGGAGGTTATGATTGGCATCAAAATTTGGGGCAGCCTTATAGAGCCCAGTGCTCATCCCGTGGGGCCTGATGCTATTCCCCGGCAGACAGGCAGTGTCGGGATCCAGTTGAATTGTGGGTACCCGGGCTTGGATCACTACAGAGCTGACTGTCTTTCTTGCTGGTGGGGAAACCACCCCACCACCCCATGCGCACCTGGTCACAAACGTATTCCGGGTTGGTAGTTGAGTGACAGAAAAGAAAGAAAAGACTCTGTGCTCCCCACAGCCCGTACTTTCAAACCCCTGACACTGAGCTGAGCTGGCTCTTAGAGCTAGCTGTGGATGTCCCATCTAAATGATTTTTGCAGGGAATCAACACCAGACGAGGCCACCAGAGAATCGCAACAAAAACGCAGCTATTTAGTCATGACGTCTGAACCAAGAACAAATATTGCTCAACCCACAAAGTTCCCCAACCCACAAAATTCCCCCAAAGCCTTATCTGCTATCTGCTCTTTCTTCAGTGACAGTGGTAGCCGTGCCCTGGTCTGCACTCTCCGGCGGGAGGATAAGACTTAGTCACGGAATTACCCTAGTTTCTGGACAGTAATCCAGAGGAAAGCCTCACTGCCTTGGGGTCTCCCCTGAGTCCTCAGAGTACCTTCTAATAACTCTCTCCCCCAGGACGCCCCTCAAGAGAGAGCATGGAGTCTCAAGATCCTTACACAACGGCAGTAAGCCCAATTCAGTCAGTCACCAGCAGGTGTGGTCCTCACAGTGGTCTCTGGCTGGAAGGCACTGATGGGGTAATGAGGTCTGCATACCGCCCTGGTGTCCGTGTAGAGTGAGTGAGAAGGGAAATGGCGGT